GGCGAAGAAATCGGCAACGGTGGAGCAAAATATCCCGGTATAGGTTGCTTTTTTAAGCTTTTTCTGAAAGATGAGGAGAAAAATAATTGCAAGGTCTCCTATAGCTCCTACAATAGAGAAGGTAGAAGCGATGATAAAGAATATCTCGTCTATGAATTGTTCATATTTGTTATTCCCATTAGGTGCTTTGGAGAAAGTCTGATTTGTATTGTTGTACCATTTAGGATGAATGGTTGAAGAGTTATTTGTCAAGTCATTCCATATAGAATCCATATTTGATGTCAGTGTCTCCAGATTGTTGTTCATGAACGCTTCAATTTATCTCTTTTCTTGGTTAGACCTTTATCTGAAAATATTATCTTTCTATTGAAAACAGTCAATTACGCTAAGTCTTAACTTTTCATAATTATTATGCTTCCTATCTTTTTTATCCACAGTCAGTATTCATCTCTTTTTCTGATTGCAAACAAGGTCTAATGTGCTGCTGATTACGTCACACACACATACACACGTACCCTCACACACTTGCTTTTGACTCCTACAGTATGTGTCAAACCCTGATCACTTTTTCAGCATAGTACATACAAATAAATACATTATTAAATAAATACTTGCATATTATTATCTTTAAATCGAATTGAAGGTAAATATTTTTTCTAGTCTTAAGAAATTCATATATGGAAATTTCACACGAGTAACGTCAACCTTAAAATTTTCCAAAATATGTATTTTTCTTCATAGTGTTCCTTCTTTACAAATTAAAAAAACCCTCTCATTTAATGGAGATAAAGGTGTCTTAATGTTCCGTTTCAAACAAATGTAACACCAACATGTATCCCTTTCCTGATTAATGACATTAAGATTTCCAGCTCAAGGTCTCTTGAAAAAAAAATGTTCTTTTTCTCCCCAACAAAGCGACGTAGGTTTTCAAATATTTAAGTCATTAATTATAGTTATTGGTATATTATACTTATGATGATTTAATCAATACTGAGACAGAATATTGACTAGAATTTCTCTCTATAACACAATTAAATATCTTTATATGGACTTGATGAAAAAAAAAGATACAGCAAAACTAGTTTAATGCGAATTTGAGGGCTCAAAGAAAGACTTTAGTTAAAACAGTAATTCATTATTCGTTAATAGCGAATTTGTAAGAAATCTTATTAAGAAATTGATATAAAACAGTCACTTAGTTTAAGAATAATGAAAAAACTAAAATCTCCTGAATAAGTGCCTTGTTATTGTATTAAGTCCTTGTACATTTTATCATCTAAATTATTATCTAAGGCATTCATTCTAAAATTTTGTGTACATTTATATTCAATGAAATTTGTAAAGAAAGGTATTCACTATACTCATGAAAAACGTGATAAAATATCATCAGCAGGAGGGGGGTTACAATTACTTCGTTATACCCGTTAATTGATATTGTAGTCGTATTAGTTATATACGGCTTATATAGGGACTTTGACAGGACATGAATTAAAAAATCGACACAGCTGTAAATAAGCTATATCCGAGTTTGTTATATCCGAGTTTTACAAAATTATTCATTAAATATAGATTACGTACATTCTTTTAAAATATAATATTATCTTTAGGTATTATAATTATAAAAAAATAACAAACGTCAAAATGAAATTAGAATAGTGTTTCATTTGAATCACATACGTCAACTTTAACAACAATATTTAGGTTGGTATCTAATGATCAGTACTGTAATTTGTATATTTAAAAAAAAATGATTTTAACAACACATAATAGAATAAAAGTAATTTTTTCAGTCACTTACTATTGTATCAAACAACCGGTCAATAACAAGGGGGAATAAATCAATATAACATTAACTTTGCATTATCTTTATATAAATTAAAACGAAAATATAATCATATGATTCATACAGTATAATTATTTTTTTTAAAAGTCATTATCTATTTTTATTTATCACATATTTAGTTCAGATTTCTAAAAATCATAAACACACATTACGAATTCTTAAATAAAAATCAGTATCATTTCTATGAAGTTAATCCTCTCCTAATATTTATTATATCTTTAGCAGGGATTAAAAACCTCTTTTTTCCCCAATGAATTATATGTATTCATATGTAACCTTTGCGTCTTTCCCAACTATTCTTGAATAACGGCTAAGGGCATTTTCGATTGGTTCACAAAAGAGACAAGGCCTGCAGCTTTTTTTCTCGTCGACTGCCATCTTTTGCTTAAAATTCATTTTCCTATTTCATGAAAATATATGAAATGTGCAGACTTAAATATCAGCTCTCCACGTATTTTTTTTAATTCTTCATTTTTGAGAGTGTAACAATTCACTCTTAATTAGGATTCGTTTTGTTCCTGCATGCTCATTATTATGCCGAACTCTGTATAATCTTTATCTTCGACTTTTCGAAAAAAGTTTTCTCTTTCCTTCCAACTAGATACGAAAATTGTGCACATGTTAAAAGTTCTCTGTATCAGATATTTTACTCGTGTGATTTGGCGCAAAATTGTGCGACCCTTTTCCTTGGTCCTATGTTGATTTTAAAAACATATCTTAGAACGATTACTTTTTTAAAAAAATATATAATCATTGAATTTAAGTGACTTTTGAAATTCTCTATACATGTTTCTTCTACAGAAATCCATTTTAATCATTGTGACCTTTTTGTAATTGCAACTCTCCACTTCAATTTGCACCCAAAATCCCATGAACACTTAATTAAATATCTAAAAATAAATCTAAAAATAATTAAAACAATGAAAGGGTTTATTGGAATTTAATTCGTCGTTTTTCTACAGACTATTCAAATATCTTCATCCCTTATTATTATAATTATTTTCATTACTTTATTGTGACTCCTAGCTCTTCATATTCAAAATGATATTTGGAGACACGCGGTTTAATTTTTTTCAAAGTTTTGATTTCTTAATCCACTTATATCTAAGAAGTTGTCATGGATATTTTTCATGCACAAACATACTATGTACAAAAGATTTTATTAATTTTTTAATGATTGGCATAGCAATAGACCGACGATAAACTAATTTTCGTTTTATCCATGGTTACAAATCAAATGACGTCACAAAGCTTTTGCAGTAAGTAAGTGAGCTTGATCCTACTCTGAATGCAGAATTTTAAAATAAATTGAGAAAGTCTTTTTCCCCCTGAAAATTGCGTATTTTGACTAATTTATCTAAATTAACATCACTGGTCCAAACTTTTCTTTCAATATTTAAAATATACGGTACATCCGATCGATCAGCACTTAAGTAAAAGAAAAAATGCTTGATACAAGTAAATATATTATTGCCTAATTATTAATTAATATAATACAATTAATAATAAGTCGATATATCTTAATGTCAATTTAAGAAAAAATAATTGCATAAAAATGAAATTTTTGTTTCACACAGAGTTAAGATTTAATTTTCCCCTTTTTCTATCTTATTCAAGAGTGAAAAATGCGCAGTTCCAAATTTTCGAGTTATCTCTCTTTTATCTCTCTTGTTTTACCAAATTAGTTTATTTACAGAAAAATTCAATAAACATCTTTATAAGTACAAAACTATTTATAACTAGTGACTTGGAAGCGGGTGGTAAAATAATTATAAAATATACTTCCCAAAAAGCCTAGATATAACTAACTTCACGGGTGACATACCTTAAGATAGTTTGTTGGTGTTTTCAAATTCTTGACCTTACCGCAACGTTGAAGAGAACACCACTTTCCCTGACGTTAACTGTTTTGCGAGCTAAGGATATTTTAAAATTGTTTCTTCGCAGATTGCTTGCTCATCGTCCGATTCAAAGTATCCACCACTGAAATATTCTCTTTCCTGTATATACAAATGCAATGCTCATTTAATTTCTGACATTTGTTGATTAAAAAATAAACATTATTGCTTCGTGATTCGAAATCATGTATTTTTCATTTTTTCAATTAGCTCTTCCCGTTTTCTGATTTTGTTCCCTTTTAACGAAGCCATTATATATTAAATTACAATTTTACAACTGCAATTACACAATTTCTTTAAATTTTCAATGAAATATGTTCAAAACAAAACATATTACATAACATTACTAAATTTGAACATTATAATTTTGTTTCATTAAAGCTACTTTTACTAAAGATATTACATGTACAAAAGACATGAAGTGAATTGTTAGTTTGCCATCCGATTTTGACGGTGTCCCTTATTTCCATTTCACAGACATATATTTAACATAATATAACATTATTCAGCAAATTTTGATATCGAATCCGAAAACACTTACATATTACAAATCTGGATATTGTTTTCTTAGCTGTCTTTGAAAACACGAAATATACAATTTTTAACCGTGTTTATTGCCCCTTCTTTATTCCAGGTAAGTTTGAGTCCACCTAGAATAAGGCTTGTAATTAACTGAATTATAAATAAATAGATAAAGTTCTAAATCTGTCATAAAAATTAACAAATGTATGATAAATATCAAACAAAAAGTAATAATCCCGGGAATGAATTTGGCCAGCAAGAAAAAAAAATAACTAAATCAGGAAAATAGAGATCAATAATCAAAATTAAGGAAGGGAAAAGAGAGCTCTTGATAATACCTTGATTCAAGGTTTGACTCGTAGAATCACCAAAATGAATTACCCCATAGTTAAACGTCTTAAATTAAATATATGGAGGTAAAGAACAGTATCTAAGCTCAAAAATCCGTCACACAATTTTACAAAATTGGAGCAGAGCAAAGACGGACCTTCAAAACATCAGAGGTGCTCCTAATTTGTATTATTTAATAGACTTTTGAGCTTGAATACTGTTTGTAATCTCCATATTTCTTATGTGTTAACTAAAAGTACTCTGGAATTTTTGTGCATGAGGATCATAAGTAGCCCATGGAAGAAAGTACGAGAAAATAAATAGATCAACTTTAATATTTATTATTAAATTCTATATAAATAATTTGCTCATCCCTCATCGTCTCACTTATTTTTTTTGTTTTGGGGCAACATAGCTTTATTTATCGCTTTATTTGGTATTATATTATCCAAGGGTCGTTGCATTATGCGTAGGTGACTGTTAAAGCCCTTGGGTCTCTTGTTTATTAATTGGATCCTAATAATCATGTTCATGCGGGATGTAATTGACTGCCTAACTACTAGTATATTGTACCAATGGACATCGAGAAAGTAAATCTTTCTAAATTTATTTTTATTTCGGTTTCACAAACTAGAAAGCTCGGTTTCACAAACCAGGAAGCTTTTTAAAACATAAATTTTATTTCAAAATAAAAATAGAGTTTAAATATGTCTTACCTTTACTCTCTGGAGAGGAGAATTATACTGGTTTTCCTTGTGTATTTCACTTTTCTTACTTCATTATCGGAAGGTAAAGTAACTGTTTTGTTGACTCTAATAACCATAAAATATGTTTTTTACAACTATGCTACTGATTTGATTTGGGGTTATAGGACGGTGTCATTGTGCTTTTCGTTACAAGTCTGATACGCTACAAGTAAACTTTCACAAAACCGGAAAATTTTTATTTACAAGAGTCGTTAGTATAGAATTAATTATAAAATATATAAAAAGTTCTCTCTGAAAAGTCTTCAGTAGCCGGTACTACTATGAAAACTTAAAAAATAGAGGTGTACAAAGTGTGGTTTTATGCCTTTATACAGTAGCTTCAAATGACTGTTCTTTTTACTAATAGGTATGGAATCATGATAATCAAAACTCTTCTTCGGAAAATTCTCTAAGCAAAAGTTATTCTATGGTATTTTAAAAATTAAATAGAATTTGCAACCAGGAGATATCAAGTGTATCAGTTTCCATCTAATTTGGTGACACAATAACCACAATCCATATCAAGTACCGCTTTAAATCTTGTTTATGATATGACGCTTGAAAAAAATTTAATGTTGTGTTAAAATGTTACTTTTAAAGTTAGAGTGGGTCATTTTTCCATGTTTTTGTTAATTATAAACGATAGATGTATACATTTTCCCATACTAAAGATATCTTAAAATGAATCAGGGCCTCTTATATAGTAATATGAGGTTGTCCTACAGTTCCGTAAACAAACGTTATTTGGGACATGTTGTAACGAGTTGTCATGAATTATTCAAACTTTAAAGTATAATAAAGATATCAACAACTAATATTCTTAATGTAAATCATTGCGTAGTTACACAGATTATCCTATTCAAAAGCAATGTTTTACTTATTGATGCAAATAGGCGGCAGTGCAACATTGAATATCAAAGATTTGTAAAATCTCGCAAAAATTAATTACAATAAAAAATTAAAAGGGTTTCTGGTCACGTGTTGGGGTAATACACATGTAAAACAAGACGTATTTGTGAAACACGGATGCCCCCGCTTGGCTGCTCAAATGCAAGGTAAACTCCTAGGACAAAAGATCTGTTGGTATCAAAAGAAAGATCTTCTCACAAGAAATACATCTGTGAAATATGTAAACCTAAGTACTAAGGGTTCAAAAATTATGATCAAGGTTAAAGTTTTTTTAAAAGTAGGCCAAACTTAAGGTAAAGATAAAAAGATGTATACCCCATCGATGTGCGTTTTAAGTACAAAAACCTTAGCATCAACTATTCAAAATTTGTGGCTATGTCAAAAGTTTAGAAATCTTTGGTAGAGTGGGTAAAACTCCAAAATCAAGGTCACGGTTTCAAATTTGATAATACCAAAATAAAGGTCTGTCACAAGAAAAACACTCGTGAAATATAAAAGCCTTAGCCTCTAAAATATTATAGAGAAGTTTAAAGATTTTGCAGATAAACAAACAGATAGACAAACAGACTGACGGAACAAGAACTATATACCCCCATATTCGATTACGGGGGCATGAGAAAACCTCTGCGATTTTCAAGAATTTTGATTCTATTTTTGTCCCTTCTGCGAAAGCGAGCGGACGTTAGATCTCATAATCATTCGTCTCAGTCTGCCACAAAAACTTTAAATTTGTTCGTAACTTATGAAAAAAAGAAATAGGACTTTAACATTAACACCAGTGAGACACATTCATTATGATGATGACACCAAGACACCGGGGACAGCTTACATAGTTACGACAACACCAAAGTGTTTCTCAGCTCTTCGTGGAGTAGTTGCAATAGATTGATAAAAGGAATAAACGCAGAGACTATGCAACTGAAATAAAACATTGTAAAATCTAAAATTTTATGGGGTTTTATTCAAATCAAATCCTCATAAACCACTACATTTTCCTCAAACCATGAAAATTTGACCCTTCAAAAGTGTGTAGTTTTATATTATACACAAAGGCTAGTTTTCTATTTTCTGAATCGATCTCCAAAAAATATTTGATATTTGTTTACAATGTGATTAAAACAATCCTCATTCTATATGTATGTACGGTAAGATATTATTGCACGTGTGAATATGTCACGTAATGACCTACATATACATGTATGACCTGTAAAAACTTTTTTATTCTCTGCATATAGATATACCACAAATGTATACATTATTAGAAAAATAAAACTTTCTTTGTCCCTCAATATTCTATATTTTGTTGATATAATCAAATGTCTTTTTACGCGTACACTTTGTGTCCCTAAAGTTATATCCTTCCTTCCCTCTTGTCACAATTAAATCACATTTCCTGCTAAAGAAGAGGGATGAAACTCACAAGCAAAACAATCTATAGTGTGACAAACATAAAAGGGACAAAACTTTTCATCTTTTTCAACTTTTTATCTCAATAATTATCAAATATTTTCTTGATATTTCATCGAACATTAAAATAAAATTTACGTATAATATCTTATATTTGCAAAAATATCACAAAGATTGAGATTATGTGCCTATGGAATATTATACGCACACTAGAAATGGCAAAAAGCAGTCATTTTTCATTATATACATGTGACACTAATTATCGATCTGAAACATATGGAGATGACAAACAGTATTCAAGATCAAACGTCCATAAAGTATATAAGTGGTTTTCTCTCATTTTAAAAGAAAAGTAAATCCTCAAAGCTTGCAATAAAGTATACACTTTTACCAAAAATATGGAGCAAAAACCCATAATACCTTAATATAATTTGATGACAAAAACTCGCACCTTTTTGAGAAATGCTTGAAGTCAATTCAGTTAAGAGTCATTGAACAAACATGATTTCTATTATGACATTATATTACTCAGGAATTGCGTAGTCTAGTGGTAAGCGTAATAGTCTTACAAAAATTGATACTCAGTATTTTAATTGCTCGGATCGAACCAAACGAACACCACATTATTTTTAATATAAGAATAAATTTTGCTGTGAAAAATTTTCTCGGAAAAGTTTTTGTTATCACAAATAGATTGTTCAAGAAATCTTTTGCTTTGCTTAGTGTCGCTTATGTACTGATTGATGGCAATGATCTCCATCAAAAATTAAAGAAAAAAATATTCAGAGGATGTAAATACTGTACGTGTACTTAAAATGGTGGGCTTCATATTTTAGCGGCTTTGGCGCAGACAATAATGAATACCGCTAAGAAATCATTTATAAATAGAATATTCGGACCAAACATGTGTAGCGCTAATTCATGATTACGCCAACAACTCAAAATCCATTGATAGCACTAAATTTTGAATACGCCAAATTATATCCACGTACAGTATATTTAACTTATCATAAAACTACCTTGTAAGACCATCGTTACACACTCAGGATTCTCTCATGTAATTAAACAAATCTATTGCATTCTACAATGTATGTGTTTTAAAAATCATATGCATTGTAATCTTAATGTTCAGATTTTGAATGGGATAGGGCTAATAGGCTTATGAATTGTGTTATCTATTTTTTATGATTTTATGTTTAATTTTTCATATTCCAAATTAAACACCTTGTAACATTGAAACTAAATAATTAGAAGAAAAAAAACTTTCTTGAGCTTGGATGTGTATGTGCACTAGTTCATTGTATATTGGAGGAGGGATATTCCTATTCATGACCACCATAATTTATACGCGGTAAGTTGTTTCAATTAAAGAAACACGAAATAAAAGCTTCTATTATATCAACAATTTTCTCTGGTTTAGGTTCCGCTTAATACTAGCATATAGAATCGAAGATATGCTTTTTAAGAAAATTGTTTTCTTTTCATGCTTCGTAAAATTTTACATATCCACACTTTCATTTTCACTGATCAAAAAAAAATCTAAGAATTTCATACATGTCTTGTAAATAAAGTAATAAAATAGTACTTGTATAGTGCAATTTAATATTTGAATTGAATATATACTCGTATTTATAAAAGGACGTATTTTTGAAAAACTGATGACCATGTTTGGCAGTTAATTGCAAGCGTTGAAGCTTCACAAATGCAAGTTAAACTCCACGATCAAGGAAAAAGGTCAAATTTGGTGGTAGCCAAAGAAATGTCTTGCTTGTCTTAAGTAATTAATCTGCGGACTATACAAACCACGGTTTCTTAATGTTCAAAAGTTAGGGATCAAGTTTAAGTTTTAGAAACGTGGGCAAAACTCTAAGTTCAAAGGCAAATTTGGTGTTACCAAAAAAAAGTTTTGTAACAAGGAATATACATGTAATAACATGTGAAAGCCCTAGCTCTTACAACGAAAATTATGAATAAGCTTACAATTTTGTAATTTTTTGTAAAAGTGGTGAAACTCAAAGGTCAATGTGTCAAAAGATCAAAATTAGTGGTACCCCAAAAAGATCTTGTCACAAGGAATACACCTGTAAAATATGAAAGTCATATCTCCAAACACTCAAAAATATGAGCATTGTTGATGTTTTTGCGGACAAACAGATAAACAGACAGACCGACCGACAGATAAGACAAAAACTATATACTAGTAACCGCGAATCTTCGATTAATTGGGCTTAAAAATTATACACAAAGATAGATGTGTTTTTGAAATACAGATGCCCCAACATGGAAGATTATGACGAGGGTTGAAGTGTTTTCATTTGCATCCTGCATGTTCAAGGTCAAAATATTTGGTATCCATAAGAAGGTCTTTTCAAAAGGAATAGATCTGTGAAATACGAAAACCGCAGTGTCTAGTGTTCAAAAGTCATGACCTAGGTTAATTTTTTTTTTTGAAAAGAGGGTCAAATTGTTGGTATCCGAAAAAATGTCTTATTCCAAGAAATGAGATCTGTGAAATACGCAAGCCCTAGTACTTGCTCTTCAAAAGTTATTGTTCAGGTCAAAAAGTCACAACTGTTGGTATCCAAAGGAAGGTATTGTCACACGTAAAACACCGGTGAAATATGAAAGCCCTAGTTCATTATTCAAAACTTATGGCCAAGGTAAAAGTTTTGAATAATGGACTATAAATTTTGGTGAAAGTTGGTCAAACTCCAAGGTCAATAGGTAAAATTTGATGATACCCAAAGAAAGGTCTTGTCACAAGGAATATGCCTACGAAATATAAAATCCATGACCCACCCATTCAAAACTTATGGAGAAGGTTAAAATTTTTGCAGATAAACAGACAGTCAGACAGAAAGATAGACGGACGGACAGGGCAAAAACTATACTTAGCAAAATAAGTTTAGCAATTTTTTTTCAAAGGTATAATTTTAAAAATATTTTTCGAAATTGCTTTATTTTGTTTCTACTTAAAATCAATATAGAAAAGGTAAGAAAACCACACTTCTTTTTTTACTTCACGCGCAGAAACCGCGTAAACAATAAAAAAGGTTACGCTCGAACGCACATGGTCCTGGAAGATTGATTGTTTACTGTTTAATGTCCCTCTTCAGAATATTTCACTCTTATGGAGACGTCACCATTGCCGGTGAAGGGCTGCAAATTTAGGCCTATGCTCGGCACTTACGGCCTTTAAGCAGGGAGGGATCTTTATCGTGCCACACCTGCTGTGACACGGGGCCTCGGTTTATACGGTCTCATCCGAAGGACCGCCCCATTTAGTCGGCTTTTACGACAAGCAAGGGGGTATTTAGGACCTATTCTAACCCGGATCCCCACGGGGCTGGTCCTTGAAGAATTTTTACTTGAAAAGCCCTTCGAGCACGCTTAAAAAAAAGAAAACCGTTGAAAAATTGCAAAAACGTCAAATTGGGAAATGTCCAGGACTTTTCAAAAATGAACGTCAAACGAATTTAGAGATGCTTACGCTGGTTGCTCAAAAATAAATGTCACTGAACACTTTCTTGTGCATCCGTTCGCCATATATTGACTTTTAAACCGATCCCGGACCACCTGACATTATAGTAATTGTCAGCGCTCAGAATGTTCACAAAAACGACGGTAAGACAAGATCGTTTTCTTATTACAACATCGAGACGTGACCGTTTCATGACTGCTTTTTAAGTTGCAGACGATTTATGCCGTTCAATCGGACTGAGGTTATGTGGGCAATGTGGTAAAAAAACCCAGCTAGGTTTAGCAAATTTTCGAGCTCGAAAATCTCTCACGTCATCGACAGTCCCGCCTCGCATGGGCAATGCCCACACGACACACTAGCCGTTCTTCATCAGAATGATGTTTCGATCTTTGATTGGTCCGCGAGATCGCCAGATTTGTCACCTATTGAACACGTCAGAAACATTCTTGGTCGTCGTTTAAGAAAGCGATATAACGTAAACAACGTAACAGATCTGACTCTTGCCCTGCAGCAGTAGTGGAATCAGATCACCATGCTTACGATACAAACCTTATAAGGACCATGAGACGCTATTGTGTTGTTGTTATTGCTGCAATTGGAGGCCTTACACAATATTGAAATTGATTCTGACTTTTCAAACCCGTATCTGTGATCAGTTTTACAATATTTCTTATAAAACAACACACAATTGTCCATATAATCTGCCCTATATTGTTAAGTGTTGACTAGCTCATATCACAATTTAATTGTAAGTGCTGTGTCTATTTTTTTTCACTTTATTTTATAATAAATATCTTAAACTGCTTAACTTATTTTGCTCAGTATATATACCGAGGATAAAGGGGGCGTTACATAAAAATGAAATTAAAATGCAATTTGATATCTAATGAATTAGTTTTCCATTTGTACAACTGATCTTTTCTTTTTATGTTTGTTGTTTATAGCCTCCATATACCTGACAGTTTTCCCCCCTGGCCCCGTGGAGGAGAATCAGAACGTGACAATTCAATGCAACTTTGACAACAATCCACTAGAAGCAGCTTTTTACTCTACTGCAAACAATAATACTTTCTGCAATCTAACATCAGATTCATCAGGATCAAACTGTAAAGCCAGTTTTTGTTCTCTAAATTACTATACAACCTGTCCGAATGATACAACATATCGTGTGGTTTATCCTGTTCCCAGGAGATGGAATGGAGAAGGAGTTTATTGCAAGAGATTATTCTCAGACGAGAGAAGTAATCTAGTCAATTTCAATGTTTTAGGTTTGTTATTTCTACCATTGAGTTTTCCTGTTATTTATTTTATCAAACTACTTGCATTTGCTTTTGGATTTCCAATAGGAACGAGCATATCATTCATATTGACTCTCTGTTAGTATGCAAATTGCTTTTTACATTTAAGTTATCATGAGCATATTTGCATTTTATTTCGTAATAGAAATGTAAAAGTTGTGGTGGTATTATGATTCTTTCTTCTTGAAGTATTGTATGAGTTAAGACCTTCTTTCCAAATAAAATATTTATCTGAGTGTGAGAAAAATTGCTGTTTAGATAAAAGTAAATCCTTACGATTAGGATATCCAGTACAAGTATTTTGTTGTAAGTTATAGATTTTATTTTTTACAGAAGATACAAGAGATATTTTTATTCAGAAATGAGAGGCACGAGTGAAATTGTAAATAAATCCATTACTGTCTATTTTACTGTCTTTAAAAAAATTATAAATAAATATAATTTGTCGTATTGACTACAATTATTATTTTAAAATAAAACATCGTCATTATTCTAATTTTTATGGGAACGGGAATATCATTGTGTGAGATCATGCAGTGCGTATGGTACATGTACCTCAGTCTGCGGGTGTGACCGTCCGGCAGGGGATGTTCACTCCTCCATGGCATGGCACCTGATCTCACCTCTGAAGTTTCGGGGGTCCGTGTTTGCTCCGCTCTCATTTTGTATTGTTTTATGGACTTTGACATTGAATACTGTTCGTTATCTCCATATCCTCATTCTATAGTTTCAGTAACATCAGTGACCCTGACCCCAACTAACATTGTGGATGCTGGTAAACAGATAAATCTAACATGTCAGACAGACTATTGTAACCCAGCAGCCAGTATCACGTGGTACAAGGCATCATACATTGTAGCCACGCCCACCACTTACACTAGAGATATAAACAGCAATGGCTTTGTGAGAACGACATCCGTACTACAGTATACAGGTGTGCCAGAGGACAATGGTCAACAACTTTATTGTAATGCCAGCAACAGACCATCATGGCAAAATGTAGGGTCCAACAAATACACACTGGATATAAGATGTAAGTTCTCAGTTGTTGTTAGTGATATAAGATCATTCATTATTCGTCTATAAATTAACAAGATAACAAATCACATTTGGAAAACTCATGCTTAAATGGTCAAAATTTTCATAGCTTTATATTTCCATTTGCCAATGTCTTTCCCTACATGACAATATGAATTAAATTGAAATTCAATTGAATTTTCAATGACATGCAGTCGGTCAAATGATCAGACTTTCTTGTGCATTTTCTCTTTATAATGAAAATAGAAATAAAAATATAAGAAATAAAATATATTTTTAAAGCATTTAATTCGGATATGACATGAAGTCGGTACCTAATCAAATCTCCTATAACGCCCTTCGGGTGTTATCGAATATGATCACGTGACTGACTTCATGTCATATCCCAATGAAACTCATAAAATTATAATTATCTTATTTCTTAAGTACATTGTCAACTGGTTTTTGAACATTTCTGAAGTCAATTAGATAAATTAGCAATACTAGCTTGCAGAATTCACGTATTTTGGTCCTCCTAATCTATGTAGAGAATAGAATACCCAAAACTCGTATGAAAATTCATATAGAATCCGTTTGTTCGTATGTTGATCGGGCTTAATATCAAAGTATAACATTTTCAATAGTACAAAGGATTATATATATGAGGAAGACTACAGGTCGGTCTGATAGATGGAGATATCATTGTCAAATCCTTATTTACATGTATATGTATGAATCATTATTTCATATTGCCATTGTGCACCTCCTCTTGTTTTTACTTTTTGATCTGACAAATATTTTGGGTTTCCCACAACAAAACATACATTGACACTCTCAATTTATTCATATGGGAGGCGGGGGTATCATTTAGTGAGCTTATTATTGTCCACGGTGCCTCTAGTTTAAGCAATGAATCATTTTTTGAAAGATATAGTGTCATAATTGCAACGGTATGTGCGATTTTAAATAATCTATCAAAACACAGAATGATTTTCAAAGTATTTTTATACTTTGAAACTGGTGAAATTTTTTAAATCATAAATATTTCAATTTTTCTTTTCATTTACATTTATTTTATTTTCTTTAGATCCCTTCATTTCTCGTTCCCTAAATGTATTTATTTCCTGTAAACAGACGAATATTTCAAATGTTTGCAGTGATTTTGTTCCCTAGAGTTATTTCCTGCAGTGTCCCACTTTAGTTACTTCCTCCTCTACATTACAGAAGAGAAATAATAACGGATTCAAAAGTAATTGCTACTCACCGAAAACAGTTATTTCGGCTAAATTTGATGAGCGTTTCGTCGTCATTTTTTTTACATACAAAATAATTTTTTAGTAAATATAGTGTAATATAATTTTATTCAGGAGACAATAGGTTTCAAACAGTAGTTTCCTTTGAATTCAGATATATTTATTACACCCCCTAGATGACTACATACTGTAAACCAACTTGTATTCGCGACGACTTTATTTCGCGATTTTTCAGGGATATACTAGTTCGCGACAATTAATTTTCGCGATCAAGCCTTTTTGTATCTGTTGTTTATAGTCACATGCACTTTCAGGACCGGTTTCGCGGCGAGAAATATTCGCGATGACGAGGCACTCGGAAACTTTGCAAAAATTTCTCGCACGAGGATAAAAGTTTACAGTAATATGTTTTCACTTATACTAGGAATTTCAGGATTAGAAAATATATGTACCTAATAGAATGTTATTATGAATATAAAAAGAAGTCTAGTTGATTTAAATTTTATAGATCCTCCATCCACTGACCCTGCCATAACAGCCTCCCCTCCAGGACTTCAGTATAACACAGGGACTACAGTCACATTGACCTGTCAACTGTCAAGAGGAAACCCTGTAGCCACGTTGTCATGCAGATGTAAGAACATAGTGATAACAGGAACCAATCAGAGTAACTCTACTACAGCGGTCTCTATGTTGTCATTGGTGATGGATAGTTCCTACAACAATCAGCAGTGTACTTGTACAGCGAATCACAGGCTACTTACCAGCCCTAAATCTACGAGTGTATCACTGACCGTATTCTGTAAGTCAAATTTTGCAGTTTTTGTTTATATCTTATCTAATTTGGTCATGTTACCAGCCGCCTTACCAGCACTAAATCAAGAAGTGTGACACTTACTGAATTAAACTGTATTTTGTAAGCCATTAAAGCCAAAATATATATTTACACATAACTTCCAACTTTTATATCATAGAGTATAATTGCTATCATGTTTACTACACACTCCTACTACTGTTTTCGGAACCTTATAATTTACGGTTTTCTGCAAATTATTATACCAGAGGATTTCATATTTGTTCTGGCAGTAGCTCTGGCGAGACTTAGAGGGACTAAAATTATACTTATTATCGTCATATTAGCAAGTGAGGCATCATGTGGATTTGATTGACAAATTAGCTGAATGAAAACTTCATTGCGGGTTAATACACCCTTCACTGTTCCTCCATGAAATCCTGTAAAACGTTCTAAAATGTCTGGAAAAACATTTTTTATAGGGTATGATTTTAAAGAAACAGACTTTGGTAATTTTCTGTATACTGACAATATTTCATTTATAAAACCAGTTCTACTCTCTCTTTTCCCTTTGAATTGGGCAACCTAGACCACGTGTCTTGAATTTAAATCACACTAACTTTAGTTGGGGTGTACAGGGAAATTGAAAGGATTTTATAAGAATTTATAAGTGTTTAGGACGTAAAGTGGTCGTTTGTGTGTGTGTGTTTTTTGTACTCTGAAAATGCCTCGTAATAGGAAAAATGATAATATTTGAATTTTTTACATTTATATCTGTCAACAAGTTGTTTTATATATACACATGTACAGTCTATATTTTATTTCTATGTGGACAGATATTATCATTGCAGGCACATTTAAGGAAAATCACATTTATTTGCCATAGATATATATACATTTTTGTTCTTGGTGTTTTCTTAATTGTATGTGCATTAATTTTGGTAATTTGTTCCTGCTGCTTCCTGGTAAATATTGATAAGGTACAAGATCCCTTCTTTTACCCACAAAGCTCCACCACCATCAACAGGAAAATATTTGATTCTAATAGGCACATTTTGGCAACATTTTAAAACTTTTTATTCATGTTAGCAGACTGATTCATTTAAGAAATAAGATATCATTTTTAGAGTCTCATTTGGATGTGACATGAAGTCGGTCACATGATCAAATTCTGTAACGCCCGAAGGGCGTTATAGTAGATTTGATTACTTACCGACTTCATGTCACATCCTAGTGAAACCCCAAAAAATGATATTTTATTTCTTATATTTATATTTTACTTTTATTCGTGTTACAAGGAAAAATGGGCGCTATTTGGACATTGTTATAGAAATGCAAGATAACGTAACCACGGCGTCATATGACGTCACAGTAAAGACTTTCTAATAGTCTCGTGCAGTTTGCCCAACTGCATGTCATTGAAAATTGAATGTCAAATTATTTATATTGTCATATATGGAAAGACATTAGCAAATTTAAATATTTGGACATAAATAAAACCGTCACGATTAAAAAAAAGACGTACAATTTCACACACAAACAAATGATTAATTTATATGTACTCTAATATACTAAAAGGAAAAAAGAAACGCAGGGTAACATAATATGCGAATTTCTTTTGACCGCATAACTAAAAAATATGAAAATTGGTCAGAATGAGAATCATGGTAACTTATGCAAAAAAATTAGTGTTATGATACTTAGTCGTGACGTGTATGACGTCACGTAGAAAAAGTGCTAAAAAGTACCAAAAAAAAGTCTGTGCAACTTTATAACGACAAGTTTGTCAACGATCTTCTTGTTCGATTTGATGCACTTGAGGTATACACATTGATTTTCAGTATTTATAGATGAAATGCATTACTTGCAATCTTGTAACAGTTGACAGAAGTTCAATAGGGTCTGGCTTCACATCTCATTAAGTAAGGACAAAGGCAACAACGGCTTGCTGTGCAGTCGCTAGTAAATTTCATCCCGTAGGACTTCTCAACCGTCGTCAGAAAGGGCCTCGAAGGTTTTCAATCCACCATGACGATGACGTTGTCGTGTAACAGAGCCAACTCAAGAGTGGTTTATTCGTCCAGCCACCCGTTTAATCGCTGTCTTATTACCATAAAACTGCTATTAATAGAGTAGGTATTCATAATCATTACATTTATCATAAAACTGAAAAAAAAAACAAATGCGCGATTTGTATGTTTCAGCTTTTCATCTTCACACGTTGGTGTTCCTCTCACTGGTACATGCACGCGCTGTTTGCCTTTTTTTTCGGCATGTTTACCTGCGGGCCATAATAGACTCGGTTTATAAAGACTTTTTGGCAAACAATCGCATTTACCCACTCGACTGGTCTCCGTAAAGTCCATCTTTTTCTCATTGAATATTTGTAGGGCTGAGGGCTAGAAATGCCGAAGATGGTCTCTTTCAACTAAGGGTTATCTTGTTGAAAAGGTTGAAAAATATCCCTATTTGTAGGATAACACACTGAGTCTTATGAACTCTACTCAAGGGAGTATAAAGGCTGTGACAAAAACATCTCAATGAAGATAATGATAATTTTCAATTTCATTTTTTAGGGGGTATTGTCAAATTAATCTCAATAACATATAAATTATGAGGTAAAGTCAAATATTTCACTTAAAAAGTTTACCCAGCGTTTCTTTTTCTTTTCAGTTAAATAAATATTAGATTTGGAATGTCACAGTGCTACTTTAATTCGATAATGCATATGTACATATAGAAAAATAATCTTTCACACATTATATTAGATCCTCCATCTACATACCCTGTCATCACAGCCTCCCCTCCAGGACTTCAGTATAACACCGGGACTACAGTCACCTTGACCTGTCAACTACCAGGAGGAAACCCTGTAGCCACGTTGTCATGGAGATGTAAAAACTTAGTTTTGATAGGAATCAATCAGAGTAACACTACTAAAGCTGTCTCTGTTTTGTCATTGGAGATGGACAGTTCCTACAACAATCAGCAATGTACTTGTACAGCTAACCACAGCTTACTAACCAGCCCAAAATCAAGGAGTGTGTCATTAACTGTATTCTGTATGTCAACTTTTTCTAATTTCTGTACATTTATAGACTTCTTGATTTTTGTCATGTGACTAGCTTCATCACCAGCACTAAATCAAGAGGTGTGTAAACAACTAACTGTATTTTTGTAAACCATGTAAATCAAACTATTTGTATAAAAGTTACAAAATTTTATATCAACCTACTTTTATCAGAGTGTTATTGATAAAGTGGCTACTACAGGAAAACTAAAGAAGGATTTTACGTGAATTTTAATTGACAGGAAGTCAACTAGCCTCATAGGTTATCTTTTGTTCACCCTAAAACGGTTTGTAATAGAAAACTCGCACTTAGATTGGTACAAGTTCCCTCTTCATATCTGTCAAACAGTAGTGTAATGAATACACATGGTCTCTATATTTTATGAGTTTTCGAGGGAGGTGTTCTTATCATTTTAGGAACATTTAAGGATAATCACATTTATCTGATATAGATATCTGTATATTTTTGTACTTGTTATCGTAATTGCATGTGCATCATTTTTTTGTATATTGTTGTTGCTTATGAAAAATATCATTAGTTACATGATCTCTACCCCTACCCACCACCGCTAGGTAAAATATTTGAATTTGATAAGTTCAAAGAAACATTAACTTTTTTTTTATTTGTGAAGCCTTTTTGGAAATATTTTTAAAGATTTTAATTTATGTTAGCAGATTGATTACATTTAAGGTAATGAAACCATCATAACTTAAAAAATCGTACAATTTCACCTAAAATATTTTTTTTTTTATTTACACATAGTATATACTATTATATTACATTAATATAATAGTATGTGCTACTCAAAATTTTAAATGAATATGCACATATAAATAATAAATAAAATTATCTTTAAAATTTTACGATAGATCCTCCATCCACTCACCCTGTCATCACATCCTCCCCTCCAGGACTTCAGTACGACACTGGAACTATAGTCACCTTGACCTGTCAACTGTCAGGAGGAAACCCTCTAGCCACGTTGTCATGGAGATGTAAGAATATCGTTATGACGGGAACCCATCAGAAGACCTCTATCACACCCGTCTCTATGTTGCCATTTGTGATAGATAGTTCCTATAACAATCAGCAGTGTACTTGTACAGCGAATCATAGCTTATTTACCAGCCCTAAATCAAGGAGTGTGTCACTGACTGTATTCTGTAAGTCAACTTTATTTCTAATTTCTGTATATTAATAGACTTTATTGATTTTTGTCATGTGACTAGCTTCGTTACCAGCACTAAATCAAGAAGTGTGACAACTAACAGTTTTTTTGTAAACCATGTAAACGAAGTGCAATCTTTGTCCTTACTAAGGCCACGAGTGTGTTACCGACTGTAGTTTGTAAGTTATCTAGCTTTAAAACTATAATTGATTCTTTTAAATATGTTTTGGAATTTGATTATGAGATCAACCTGTAATTGTAGAGATGCTAAAAGTGATAAATTATTTTAAAATTTTTATAAACGTAGTTGCAAAAAATATGTTGTTAACTCTGACAGGAAAAAGGGTAGGATTCGCACAAATAATTAATCTGTCATGAATCTACTATGAAAATTTTAACTTCTGGTCTGTTTTTTTTTAAGAGTGGAAGACAAATATATCATATGCACTTGAAACAATATCATGTAGCTTTTACATGTAGAGTTTTAAGTATCTGTGTGTTTTCTTAATTTTCTTCGAGTAATAATTTAACAATAAATAAAAATCTTCGCTATCATCTGAGTATGATATGACACTATCTTAGATGTCAAAAAGAATTAACAACACTCTGTCTGTACATGTAAAGAGGGAATATTTTGAATATTGACGAATCTGGTCGTGGTGAATCTTTGGGGCGGCCGCCGCGGGTCGTCCCCCAACAATGAACAATGCAAGTGGCAACCTCAAGCTGGCTAAATTGTGTACTAGGTAGTAACTTCACACATGCACAACGCCACGAAAATAAAATGCAATACATGTATATACAATGGGCTAATATCCCATCGACAGAGTTATCAAATATAAATGTACAATATGGGCCAATATCCCATCGAATGTGATAAATTTTCAGTCCTAAAGTTGTTTAACGGGAAAATCCCATTAAAATTAGATATAAACTGAATTAGCGATACATTACACAATTGTTCAAATATATGTTGAAATCTGTAAGATGTAATAAATTGCGCAAATAGCGCCACAACAAATTGTGCAAATAGTGCCACAAATTGACACATCCATTTGAGGTGGGTTCTGATGATAACGACGATCAGACCTCGTGCCTTTAGAACCACACCTGACGATACACCGCGACAAGGGTTGCTATGGTTCTGGCAAAATCTTACCTGAAGATGTAAAATATAGCACAGCAGTAGCATGGTAATAGAGCAATTAAACATAGTTCAAGACTGTACAGTTGAGGGGGGAGAGTGGGTTTTTTTCGGTTTAAGACCAAATACTTCTAATTTTTACTTCATCAATTTGAACCTACCAATTTGTTCGGCTGCTGGATTAGAAAGAGAGATATGACCTTACGTCATTTATTATATACCCAGTGATAATCCTACTAAAAAAACCGTATGCGCAACCCGGTTTATTCCGGGTAGTAAAGCTGTCATTAAAAGAGTATAAACAATTTGATAGATGAATATAAGTTGCAAAATAAAAGAGAGATAGTCTAGTTTTCAGTTTTAACTGAAGATTTCTAAATGCCCTTATCTTCTATCACTATCACCATTTAGACTGTTAACAAATGCATGCTAATAAATGAATGGACTATAACCAATCTCCAATTTATCATCAATAAGGTCGAAATAAAAATAATTTTTCATGAAATAAATTACACAATAACAAATTTAAAATCTTTCACTTCAGCATTTAAGTCAACGTTACACAGGGAACTTTGATACATTGTAACTCATAGGCCTCTGGTTTTAATTTAGATTTTAAATAATAAACTTTTCTTTTTTCAGATAACAATGTTATAACATCAAGCTGGAATAAAACATATTCTGTCAAAGAACATGAACGTTTTCAACTGGTTTGTGAAGTGGATGGAAATCCGTCATCTAACATCACGTGGGTGTTCGTTAGAAATAACAGCGTTATAATAAAAGACTATAATGTTAAGAAAAGCTCATTGGTAATATCTTCAGCAAACTGCTTAGACTTTGGAACTTACAGAGTATTTGCAGACAATGGAAAAGGTCGAAATGCTAGTATAACTACAAAATTGTTGGTGAAATGTAAGTTTTTTTTCCCTGACCTAAAGAACCTCAGGTTCTAAAATAAGACATTGACTGATTGAAAATGCTCACAAAATGTCTCTGAATTCTCAAAGTAATGTGTTTTTAGCCACGATGATTCCTCAAACTTATTTTTTAAAGTTTATTGTATAATATAGGAAAATGAAGTAAATCTCAAATAAGTTTTCAGGAAATGCGAATAAATACACCTACTATGCATTTTCTAATTCGAAGAGCAGAAGCCACGTAGAACATTTTAGCCCTGAGAATTTCTGAAAAATCAAAACCGCTTAGTTTATGCAGTATTTTTCACTAGGACTTTTGCTGAACATACATTTATTGAACATGGCGTAATTTTTCTTCTAGTTAATGCATTATGACATCATAAAATGAGTCATTTCCCCATATCATCTAAATTTCTTTGAAACTGGCTAAAGGTTGAAGGTTTTTTTCAATATTTCATATTAAAGACAACCTCTGATCCGAAATATGCAATAACATCAGGAAAGATCTGTTTCGAAAGATTAAAAAAAATGTTTTACTTTTTGGATCGAGGGCTATGCTCATATTTTAATTCTTTGCAGAAGGTAGTCAAATACACCTGTTTTCTGCAAAATTCAAGAACATTACATTTTCTCAAAGCCTGTTTTCAAATACTAAGATTTTCAGAATAAAATTTTATTAAAAAAAATTGAAAGCACTAAGTCTCTACTTTATTTTAATATTTGAAATGGTAAAGAGGATAATAGTTTATTGAATGATATAAGGGCCATTTTATACATAAAGTGAACCTAGCTCTTTTTATCAACAGACATATTTTATTAAAAAAAATTTACATTCCTTTGATGGATGACAACTCCGATTTCATATAACTCATATTTCACCCTTATAGAGGCTTGTTTGATACATGTAAATATGCGGAAGAAAGTTGAAAAATATGATTGTTATTTCTGCTTCCCGCTTAAGCCTGTTTACGCAAGTTAAATAGTTTCAGAGAAAAGTTGTAGTTTACTATAGAACATATTATACCACTTCCGTTGTTCTTATTATTTTCTTTGTATTCGTCGTAACTTTTTTTCAAACTTCTTTTCTTAAACCACCGTGTCAGTTCAATCCAAAATTACCATGAATAATTCTAGGTTGAAAGGAATAAAAGTTTGAACAAATGTAGAAGTGCCTTGCATGGGGGCTAACTAAATGCAAGAAAATAAAATGGATATTTCAAAAATTTCACTTGAAGAACATTTTATGAAAATCGATAGACTTGTCTAAATTTAAGTTTTTTTCTGTCGGTTGTTTGGCGGTACCACAATACTAGTATATGACCGTCGTTACCATAGGAAAAATCATATGTGAAAAAAAGTTGTATAATATTATTCTCACGAACCATGGCATCAGCAAAGTTGTACTTAAATGAAAGTTTCATTACATCGTGTAGATTTGCATTATGCAAAGTAAGGTTATATTGTACAATTCAAATCTAATTTTACGTTTGCTATTCTACTTAAATTTTCCAAAGACACAAATTTGATACTTTGATTCATTGTTTGTTTCAAGTTTTGAATTTTTCATTCAGGTAAACCTCGGTTATACCTCATGGATTCTCTAACTCCAGTCAAATTAGTTTTCGGAAAAAATAATTCTCTTCAAATATTTGTGAGAATTTTATTGTTTCCACCAGCCACGCAGACAACATGGCATTTTTCAAAAGAAGAAAATGAAAACAAAGTCATCACGGATTCTGTAGATGGGTACAGAATAATGTACACGAATGCCGAATTTGAACAAAATATTACTCTTAGCAAAAACGTTGTTAATACAGGGGACTTTGGAGATTATACACTTAGAGTGGAAAATGAAATTGGTGCCTTTACCAGGATCTACAATGTGGTAGCAGAATGTAAGTTCATATTTAGTAAGTCTCATTGTATGCAAATTCACGACTCACTTTCAACATCAATTGAAATATTTTTAATCACTATTTATTCGCAGAAACTTTTATTTTATTATGAGACCGTCTGCCTGCGAAAAAAATATTCTTGCTTAAATTTTTATCGGCTTTCGATTATTATACACAGCAACCTTCACCCCTACCCCACCTACATCATTTCTTATTGTTTAAGGTGCTTTAATCCTCAGGTTCTGAAAACCTGGCCTTGGCTGATTGTTAAGTTCCATTTGGAGACTTTTTGAATTAAATCAAACATTTAAGATTTATCCTTCCTGGCCGAGGATCTGAGCAACTTAAGCTTTATTTTTGTATCAATTTCCAGGGCCACCTTTAGAGCCCATGAACTTTACAGCGAGCTGTGAAAATTCCATAAAGATTTCCTGGATTTCTAACTTTAATGGTGGGGATGATCAAAGATTTCAAGTTTCATATTCAACTGATGGATGTTCGATAGAGTCTTTTAAAGTTCTTAAAGAGGACATAAGTGATGAAGGGAATGGCAGGCCTCACAGCTATATTCCGAGTCTTGAGATGGAAGGACCATTATGGTTTACAATAACTGCTTCCAATAAGTTTGGAAATACTACATCAGATGATATTTTTTGCAATGCTGTTAAAAGTAAGTATGTCGTTATTTACATGGGCAGTTATTAATAATAACGTATGTTTGTAAGTTTGGTGAATCAAGGGCTCCCAAAACTTGGCACCATTCATATGGAATCCTATATATTTCCTGTGAAATAAAAGTAGTGTGTAGTCATTAGAATAGTAGTTTAATAGTAGTTTAATCGATTTAAATCCCGTGTGGATCCGGGTTAGAATAGGTCCTCAGTACCCCTTGCTTGTCGTAAAAGGCGACTAAATGGGGCGGTCCTTCGGATGAGACCGTATAAACCGAGGCCCCGTGTCACAGCAGGTGTGGCACGATAAAGACCCCTCCCTGCTCAAAGGCCGTAAATGCCGAGCATAGGCCTAAATTTGCAGCCCTTCACCGGCAATGGTGACGTCTCCATATCAGTGAAATATTCTGGAGAGGGACGTTAAACAGTACATAATCAATTAATTAATCGATTTAATGTAAATATGCTATTAATAAGTATATGAAATAAATATTTAAAAATTCGATTATTAATACTCATAAAACATCATGTATGCAGATAAGATACTATGGAAAATATAGATACTCGTATTTTATACGAAAGAATTGCATGCAATAAATAAGTGTGAATAACAAAAGGTTGGTGAGTTGTTTTGGGAACACTAGTAACAGTATTTTGCAATTATATTTAGCTATTATTTTATATGTCTAAATACGATCACTTTCGGGGCACATGTGAAATGAAAAATAATTTTGTAGACTTGCAGGCTCAAGATTCAAATAAACAAGAACTATCAGTAATCGGTGGCACGATTGGTGGAGTTGTTTTTGTTGTACTTGTTGCAATCTTGATATTTTTGAATACAAAATATCAAATTCAAATTAAATGTGTTGGTGAGTACCTTTGATAACATGTGTTACGGACTTGCTTTTCATTTAAGTATATGAATATTATTTAATTTACACATATACATTTTTTATAATGATTGTTTTAGAAAGAAAATCAAACCAAAGGTAAGTGAAAACAATTTTTAACACTTAAAAATGTTATACTTTTGTGAAGAACGGCACACTAGAATACAAATAAGACAAGTTATGTATGCTAGTCCATAGATCAACATCAAACTTTAGCTCGCCTAGATACTGTAAATGTATTATATTTAGAGAGTACGATATTTGAGAGAAATTGATTTTTGAATAAGTTCCCGTAGATTTGATTTAGAGCATTTCTTCATTTTCTTTATTAGATGTATATTTGTAAGACAATTAGTGTTGTACTTGATTTAGCGGTTGCGGTTGCTGGGTTCCGCGAAAGCCGCTAAAAAGAATATACAGCCAAATGTAATACGTTTATAGTATATTCCTTGCCAAGTTCAAGTTACATATGTTTATAAATTAATGAGAATATGATTAATATGAGAGGGATATTTTAGAACTAAAGTTACTCAGGCGGGCATTGTAATCATTGGACTACTTAATCGTCATAACAAATTATTTTTCTGGGAAATTTAAATCAGATTGTCTGAATGTAAACATTTATTTTATAGTGGCGTGAAAAACAATGTATCAGACAATACCTCAGAAACAGCTGGTGAGTAAACAAATGAGTCATTGCTTCTCATTTTTTATTTTGAATTTGGCACTTTGATTGATTTTCTTCATTCCTTTCTAATTTTAGGTCCTCAAACGGAGATGAGGTATTGTTTTCAAAAGAGTAAAATGTAGATATGTAGAAAGATATTTTTAAAAGACTCGTATAATTGTGTGTTAAGTTTACCTTAAATAGTAGTAAAATTCAAAATCATGTATTTAGCGTCCAGTATGAAGAACTAAAAAAGACTAACCCGAATCAGGAAAACAGCTATGAGAATATCAGTTCACAAAATAGTGAGTATAATTACAAATTTATACCTCTAGACTTCAAGTCTGAAATCATGAAAAACATTTTTTATAATCCATAAAGGAATTCTTATTATGATTGACTTTTTTTGTAGAAAAAAGAATATCTGGGTACGTAGACGCGCCTTCATTAAGACTGATGTTGATTAAAAAGTAATTAACCATAAACAACCATACGATCATGTATTAAATTCAAATTTTAGTCAGTTTGATTTATGAGATACACTCTTTTGGACAATACAGTGCCACATATGAAGATTATCAACCTCAAAATGAAGAAAGAAAGTATGAAGAATTTACAGGTCCGAAAGGTATGACTGGAAAATGTTGATAACGATAATAAAAAAAGCATATATTGTAACTTCTTAAAGATATAATACATGTTCAAAAAGGCAAAGGTAACAAACAAAAATTTTAATGTTACAATTCTGTGTACAGGGGTTTTACTCAAAACTTTGAAAATGTCTAAGGTTGGATCGGGTACCAAGTGGAAGACAGCATTTCCTCTTGACTCGTCACATCCGCTAGAGAAGCGAATAATTTGGGAGAAATAAACAAAATTAAGACGCCATGGCATAATAATACTACTGTAACATACATGTAAATAAGGAAAGTTGACGATGGAAAAGCCAAAAGCATCTGGTTTGCAAATACAGTTAAGTTGACTGTTGGTCTTTGAGGTGTAAATTCAGTAAATTATCCTAACGTAAAACGTATGTGGCATATTCGGTGGTGTAGTTTGGGATTTACGGAGTCGACTTACGAATGGAAATATCTATTGAAAATTGATAAATCGTCTGCATATATTTAGTGCCAAATGGATGGTCATGCAGGTATTACTTTAAAATCCAATAGGACAAAAATTGCTTTTAAATTTATTGAGTGTTTCTGCGATTCAATTAGGAATTAGTATGGGTATCTTAACTTTAACATAATGGTTTGAAATGTACAGTTGTTACCCACAAACCATTGATACAGCTTTAATACCATTTAGAAAATGATTCATATAATATATATTACATGTTAAGAGTTACTATCTAAAAATACAATGGAAATGTTTAGTACAATTTCAAACAGGAAAAGAAGAATTTAATTTATAAAAAAAATAGATATGGGGTTTCAATGGGTGTTCGATGAACTATTAACTGTATTCAGATGATAATTATTTGTCACAAAGCACAAATTATGCCCAAGGACTCTCGAGTTATTAAGAATAATAACTATGGTATTATTCACACTTCGAATTCTGAATATGAATTTTCGGGTATGAAAGTGCGTTTCCATTTTCAAAATAGTCTTTTGACATTTAATGTATATGGAAGTGTTCTAAGTTTTAATACTAAGCTGTTGCTATCTTCTCAAATTACATAGTTTTGTAGCTCTGATTCGTATCAATATAATACAAGTATATTGAAGTCTTGTTCTTAATTCACCATTTCAATATTGTCAATATAATGATCTTTACTCCTAGCATCTACAACATAGCCTTAAGTCGAATATTGACTATAGATTTTTATATAAATTGTCAGGCCATCAATTTCACACTGAGTAATTATTATCAATGATTATTCCATTTGATCTCTCTTGACAAGGAACACACAATGGGATTTAACTGATATACACAGGGGATGCACACTCACCTATGGGACCTAATTCAATCTCTAAAAGTTCCAGAGGCCCTTGTTTGCTTACTCTCAATTTCTATTTGTTTTTTTAATATGGATTTCTGAGCTCAAATTGTGTTCGTTTTCTGTATCCTTTATTCACATCTTTTTTCCTGAAAATTTCTGTAGTCCATTTTTTGTCAAAGGTCGTATCTTAATCGTAATTTAAATGCCAATATTTGTAATGAGATGGTAATTACAGTGATTAGCGTGGTACGTTTCAAGAAAAAAAATCAGCAGTTTTGGCGCTTTGGTTTGGACCCCATGCATGCAACATCCCTAAGATTCGGAATAAAATTTGCCGAGATAATAATAAAAAAAAGTTTTATGGTTTATAATTCAATAAATTTCATTCATAAAAACTTAACTAAATTCGTAAATGAAGGATATGATTTTTCTACATTTTAAACAAATGTTTGCACTTTGTTTGTCCATCAATTATCAATTAGATATCTTATGAGATGTAAGTTAAGCAAATGTTTTTTGGGTTTTTTTTAGACAAAAGCTTACATAAATACTTTTTTAAATTACAGATGAAAAAGATACCACTTACACGAACTCCAAGGTCTTGTCCCCTGCAAATGTTTATGAAAATATGTCATTCAAAGGAAACTGAGAACCAGCTGGTCTATACAAGAATCTTCGTTTATTATTGTTGGTTTTTTTTCTTAAATTATCTCGAAAATTGATAAGATGGTGATTACATGTGCAATAAGGTAAATAATTTTGAAAATGTTTTTGTATACCTTATCATACTGTAAATATTATGTTGTAATGCATTATATAAGCAGTATTTTCCGCTTTAGTCATGCATGTTTATAAAAGTATTTTGTTAAATTATTTTTATGTTTTATTTATGTTTACAATTTCTTTGCAGAACCATCTACAGTAGCCTTAATATACATTAAACATTTTAGTATCAATGTTAATAAATGAAGTGAAAATAGTAAAAAAATCGTTTGTTTTGTTTTCTTTCATTGGTAATTATTCTTAAGTCTGTATTGTCTAAATGAATAAAACGTTTGACACCAATAAGTCTTGATGAAAAGCCCTAGCGCAAGAGTAAAACTAAACAAATTTTGATCATATTTTTAACTATAGAAAGAAGAGAAGTTTCTGAATTTTAAAAGTGCTGCTGATTTTCTGACTTAATAAATACTAAGTAAATAAAAAACTGATTAAGTTTATACATTTTTTTCATGCGGAGTCCTATCAATTGAACTTTCTATTAAAAGCAGGAGCACTTTGCACTAAAAGTGCTCAATATGTAAAAAAAAAATTATGAATTAAAATTTATTACTTTGAATTGAGGGTTTGCCCTTGCAATATTGAAATTTCCTAAAGACCACTTTGCAGTTAATATTACTATTTGCATTTATCACGTGACTGTCATATGAGGTACCCAATCTTAATATATTCTTTATCTTTAAAAAAATATCAATACTAAATTTCAAACGCTCTTGCATTGGTTGAAAATAGAAAATGTTTATTCGCTGATAATTATACGTCATTCTGACACATGAAACCTACGTAATCCCTTTAATTTTAATTTAAAGTACACATCCACAACAATTAAAACTACTATTATTGTAGGTAGTTGTTAGAGAGTCTGCTCTAGAGTCTTTTGTTTTGAGAAGTTTTTGCCTACCGTGACACGTCACCTACGTTTTTGAAGTCATATCTGAAAGATATGTGACTTTCACTTGTAATGTCGAACGTTTGGCGAAGGAACAGTCACTGTCTCTGTTTACGTCTTATGTTTGACGCGGCGCCGCGATCGAGAATCGAACCCCGGCCTCCCGATCACGAAGCGAAAGTAATACTACTAGGCTACCGTGACCGGTCATCGCTATTGAAATGAAAGAAATAGTCCATGAGCACTTGATTAATAAATTTTATATCAGTGTCAGATTGGAATTTCTTTTTTATGAATTTGAAAACTCATTTCAAAGCAGAGGGATTAAAATCAGGCTCTTAAACAATCCCAGATTTTATTAAAATATTCAGGTATATTGATAACGGTACCTTTATACATGTAACTAGAGGTATGTTTAACTAACATTAAATGAAATTAAAGCTGAACACTACTAGTAAATAGGCATAGTATGCCATATTTCCCGTTCTTCAACACTCTTCCTACAACCAGTATATAAGGAGCAGATCGCTTATCAGTTCAATGTATTTCACTAAAGAGCTCCGACGAGTATAGGCGTACATCTTACACTGCGTGCTACTCAATATCGATGAAATTATCAATGTTTACGTATTTTTTTCAAAACAGGACAAAAGTTTCATGAAAAATACAAGTCAATACATTGATTACAAACTTAAAATACACACAAAAACAAGAAATTAACGCAAAAAATCTAAGACCACAAAAGGAATACTACATGTCGGCCACGAGTTTCGAATGTGCAATCGGGTGTAACGAAATCAAACGGTTTATATACCCGTCTGACGGTGCCTATTTATGAGAAGTGTTGAGCGTCAAACAATTAATATTGATTAAGTACAGATTAGTTCAAATCTCAATTGAAATTTTTTTGGGGGTATATGTTTTTTTTTATTGTTTAATGTTCCTTTTGAGAATTTTTCACTTATATTGAGATGTCATTTCTTGTCGGTGGGTGACTGCAAAATTTGACCTTAAATTTACTCCGCACACAGGGCCATTGAGCCTTTGAGTTCAAGGGACATCGGTTTGTACAATATCATCCGAATGACATCTCCATTGTTTGCAAGGTTAAAATAAAAATGTGGAAGATAACACAGTTATCCATCATATGAAAATAACACACAACACACAATTCAAATCTATGAATAGGGTGCAAAAGACAGACCTCTGGAATTTAAATTTCTAAAGGTATAAATATGTATTCAGGAGGCATAGGCTTTTCATGAGTTTGCTCTCAATATTCCAAAAACCAAGAAACTCTTGCCCCCTGAATGCAGCCATATGATCCATCTTTCTGCAATTTTTCAAGAAGTACACTTTCTGCATGATAATGTATTATAACAAAATATGTCCTAAATATTAAAATGCCAATGCTGTTTTCTTTATAATTCTAGCAATGCAGCATCCAGGAAGGTTTCTGGGAGTATCACTTGAAGTACTCGTTTAAAAGCTATTCTAAAATTAATGTTTCTCAACCAGTTTATGTTTCTTTTATAAGCCTTAACAGTATTCTAATGGTTTTGAAACTTAAAAACACGCTGTAGCTGTTGGGCTTTACAATTAGTTAATACAAGGGTTGATCTAAAAGTAATGTCACTGTGTCTATATCTTTAATATTTTCAGTCATATCATCAAATATAATGCAACAAAAGATGCATAAACATAAATCCAATCAAAATTGAAAATTTCATTTAAAGATGTTTAATTGAATCCATTTTATAGACGTTTAAAACATTAAACATAGGGGGTGTCGCCGCGTCACAACTGAACGTGACGTTTTAAAGTGTGCATTGTTAGAATGAAAAAAGACAAATACATTTAAAAACATCTAAAAAAAAAAGGCGTCTAATCGCCCAATTTTTAAAAGGACAAAATTTACGACATGTTTTAGTCTTTAGTTAAAAATTCAATGGCGGCACTGGTTTTTTTTTCATCTGAAACGTTGTTGTTTATATCTGATGTATTGCAGAAAGAAAACGTCGAAATGGGATGAAACTCCGAAACGAGTTGTAATTTGTTTTTTCTTCAAAATCGTGAAATCGCCAGTATAGACACCCCTACTAATGTGTTCGGAACCTTTTATTTTTCGGTTTTCTGCAGATAATAAAACCCAATGAGTTCAGAGTAGCTCCAGCAGTGGCTCTGGCGAGAGTTAGCGAGACTTCAGCGAGATAGGGAAAATTATTCACGGAAATGTGGCTAGGAAGTGACTAGCACGTGGCCATGGAGGCATGGTAAACAGAAAAGTGATGGTGCGTTTCAGTTTTCACCACCCTAGAATAAGCGGATAATGTCTGTAGAAATGTACTTCAATCAATCGATCTCTTGCACATTCATTCAAACTTAAATAAGTATTCTCCATGGTACAATTTTCTGCTGTTATGAATTAAATATTCTTTTTGGACAAATATTTTTGCATGGGAAACGGGACTATATTTTTGGGCGTCAGATTAGCAAATGAGGCGCCAGCATGATTTTAAATGACCAATCGGCTGAATGAGTATTGCATTATGGGTTACTACGAATACTACAGGAATTTTACGCTTGAAAAAAGGAAAACGTTATGGTAAATGAAAAGCATTTTTAAAAGTATTATTTTCGTACTCATTATGACAAACAATTCATTTATTAAATAAACGGGGGAAGTCTAGGTTTCTGAAAGTCATACTGCAAAAGTGATTTCGTCTGTATCTATTCCTTTGTTGTACCATAGGTGAATACAATTGCCAGGTGAATTCCCTGGTCGAACACGTGATCACGAATGTAAACAAAGTTTTGTCAATTTAAATGCAAAAGAGATGCTGCTCGTTTTCCTTACCCTTGAAGCGCTGGTTCTGAACTAGACGCAAACTACATTCTATAAAACAATTTTTTTCATTTAACAACAAATTAAAAACACCCATAACATCTTTCAAAGTTTCTTATCTGTGCATTTTGTTCGTAAGAATTTTTTTTTTATTTTGCAGTCCATTAACATGATCATAGATTGACCTGAAGTGAACTACGTGTTCAAAGTAAAATTTAAACATGTATTTGGCGTAAACGTTGCTATTCATTCAACGATTGGTCAGTACGTTGCTCGTGGTAAGATCCTCTGTGCGCATTTATAACAATTGCCATATAAGGCAAACAAAGGTTTGTCAGTGTAGATGATAATGCACATTTTTTACCAGGGAATCGGTCGCTAGTGAGCTCTAATTTTCGCCGAAAAGTATAAGATATATTGTTATTTATATAATCAATTAAGGAATGTTTTTAAGTTTTGTATGAGTTATTGGTGTGTGAATTACACAGACTTGTCACGTAGGCATATTTCATGAAGCGCGCTATATGCCTTGTATTTACATTTTACATGTTTGGAAGCAACTAAAATATACTTATTATTTGAATTTCTCGCTTCTCTATATCGTTGCATTTTTACTAACGTCGCTGCAGTCTCATTGTGACGTCACGTTAACGCACTTTTCTCCGTTAATGCACGTTTCTCCGTGAATATTTCTACGCGTGAGTATACACGAAAATGGTATTCAAATCAATTTCACTGTTTGCTAAGTAGAAAAACATAGCTAATGTAAATATTAAAACATGAAAGGAAACAAATCAATTTGAAAATTAGTTTGGATTCCATTTGATATATATTTCCAATTTAGAACAATATTTCAAACAAGGAATTAAATTAGACTCGATGCTTTGAAATATGTTAAGTAGAACATTTTGAATAAACCACCACAATGAAAAGGTTATTTGTCAATGTTTCAAGATGAACTTCAATTTTTACAGTTTCGTTTGGTTGACTAGAAAATATTTTTAAAATTTGCCTGAGTTTTACAAATAAAAAAAACTACCAGATTAGTATTTGTATGCACATGATACCCAAGAGCTAAATACACGGCTCTGTTTCGCTTTATTACACTTTAAATCAACAAGCTGTTTAAAAATGCCAATGTCGTTTCCAAACACTGCTGGCCAAACCAACAACAAAATAACAAACATTTCAATAGTTGAATTTCCAGATTGCGTGCAAAAAGTATCCTTACGCGAAAATAAAAGTCCTCTCCGTTATCAAAGAGCACACCGTTGGAGATAATCTGGAAACTTGCAAAGAAAAAGCATCTAAAGTTTCATTATCTATACAAAGAAAAAAGTATAATAAAGAAATACCATGTAAATTCAAAAAAGCTTAGCAAAATAGATGTGCTCCGAAAAGATCACTTTCTTAAACATTTACAT